TACCGGGAATGAACTTCAGGAGCATAATTTACCGCTCAAACTTAATGCTTGAGTCGACTCAAATAGATCTGATACAGAATTCCGTCGCATAGGCTTGAAAATCCTGTTGATGTCGACTTACAGGTTGAACACAAGCCCGTTTGTCTGATGGCATCAGACAAACGGGCTTGTGAATAGTTTAGATGTTTTTTGGAGAGACGTTGGTATTTTTCAATTGGGCTAATGCTTGTGACATGTTGTATTGTCTTTTGGTTCAGTTTTTCCTAGAGAGTGACGTTTTCCGCTCGAAGAAAGGGGTTGTGCCCGCGCAAACGGGCTTGTTCGGGCTTGTGGATTTGGGGAAAGCGTTTCAACAGTCTTATCATGGATCAACGGAATGTTTCTTCGCTCCGCATCCTTTAAGGGTACCGGAGGTGAAGTAAGGCAATGCCATTCTATTCATCACCGAGGAAATAAAAGAAAAATCAACCGAACACATTGTACTCATGGCTCCCATAACTGTCTTTAACATTCCGCTGTCATATAATGCTGTATGCATGAATTAGACATCGTTTGGTTGTGGGCGTGGGTTGCGCTTGGGCCCGAGCAGAGTGGCTTGTTTCACATGCCGTCAACAAGCAAACGGGCTTGCGCCTGGCTTATAATAAACAAGATCATCAGGCAACCATTCAGTGTCTCGTTGATATTTCCATAGTTAACAGTGCCCATTCATCCGGAATAATCCATGAGGGAAATTCTTCAATGTGGCTTGGGCGGACTTGGCCAAAATGACTCGAACTTGCGAATGTTCGTCAAAGATTTGCTTGGGAATGGGGTAGTTGACAAATTCAGTCCCCGTCAAAGTTGCAATGTTGCATGGATAGGAATAAGTTGTCGATGTCCGAAAACAATTCAATGCATGTCTTCAGAGCTGCACATCGAAATTTAGTTAAGTATATTGAGTGAGGCACCTGCTGGACGATTCATCGGCAGACAAGGCACAAGTGCCGCACCACATGCCACAGCGGCGAAAGGATTTCGCTGAAGCCCGGGTTTCAATTCAAGTTTAAGCCAAGCCCAGTCCGGTCGTCGTGAGGTAAGGTGTAAGGCCTCTTCGCCGGACTGGAGCCGAAGCCCGACCTTTCGGGCGCGAGTTGATTTGCGTGACAACCGACAGTTGGCGCCGTCGCGGGGAAAATTAAATACGGTTAGTTCTCAGGCATTACACTAGCTTCATTACTTGCAGCAGAAATTTTCATAGCTGTATCGGAGAATCTGACTGAGTGGCCAGTGTGTTGGGTTTTGCGTGTTGCAAGTCATGTCGGCGGGTATTTTGTTGATCTGTACATATTGAGAAACAGTTTGATTGATGGTGGTGGCGGCGGGAACCAGCGGGGAGGCCTAGGGCACAAGGTATCAATAACTTACATACAGTGATAAAGCTTGGTGTAAGCGGGCTCAAGTCAAGCCCAGCCACAAGCCAAGCCGTCCAAACCCGCACAGCCAATTTCAAACTCCGCTAAGCGGGGCAAGCCGTTTTGGCAAGCCCGTCGGACAAGTTTGACAAACAGAGGGGGTCTAGATGTATCTCAACCCGTCATTCTCTCGTCGTATCATCTATGCTGAAACAAGTTCAAGCAGCAATGCCCCTCCGGACCAGACAGTTCAAATATACGTGCATGGAGTGATCAACCAGCACAACGTACCTCATCAGACTTTTGACAAATAACTTGTGAGCTTGTACAAGGCCAAACAAGGCCACAAGCCCCACCAAACGGCGCGCAAGCTGACAAGGTCACAAACCATGTTGATGATCTCAAAAGGTGGCCGGTTCGATTCTGTCTAGTGGCATAAAGTGGGCGCAAATGACTGTATCTCAGCCAATCAGCCTCTCTGGGTATGGCACGGTGTGTGAGAAACTTCTGAAGGTGTCCTTCAATTTTTCGGCACGTTCACCTGTCTTGTTTTGACCCTTCCGAGAGGTGTTTTCTCCCGCTTTGACCTTGCGAGCTTGTCGGCAATCTCCGGCAAGCTCACAAGGCCAAACAAGCCACAAGTTATTTGTCAAAAGGCTGATGCTGTCCGTTTAGAAACTCCCAAAATATTTGCGAGCTGTCCAATATGTTGCGCCCCTCACCTTCATTTAGCGTACTTGGTTCGATTGAAACCCCTCCAAATATTCGACAGCCGTAGAATATTTTGCGCCACATAAAAGTCGATCTGACCCTGCGCCAATATTAATATCGTCTTTATTTTACTGTCAAAGTGAAAGTTGCATCTCCGCGCCCTTCCTTATGAATACGGACGAGAGAGTAGTTTGAGGCGCACGTAGACGCCCCCAACGAGACCTAGAGCTAGGTAGCTGCCCGTGGATAACTTCCCCGGCTTCTCTTAGCGCCTTAAAACTTGAGCGAAGTCGTTTACACCGCTGCTCCGACCATCCGCGAGCCGCACACACGCAACAAGCAGCGAATGCGCCGCTGTCTCCGAGTATGCGGCATGCGGACCGCTGCCGCACGCCATCTATCCGAAAACACAGAGTATTTCTGGCGGCGAGGTCAGATTATACTTGGTACGAAGTGGCGCCAGGAACGTACGGTTTACAGCAAAACACGATCTTGCTGAAAAATCGCCTCGATCCCGGAAGCATCTTGCTGAAAAATCAGCGCAGCCTCGATCGGGTGGCGCTGAGGGACGCCGCCACGAAGACCTGCGGGTCCTCGACCCTCGAGCCCGTAGGTATGAATACCTACGGGCTCGAGGGAATGCACGCCTCGTGGATGCGCTTGCAGACCCGATCTCGCTGTGGCCCGTGACATGGCATCCGGAAACGAGTTTCCTCGGCGGAAAGATTTCTGGGATCAGCTTATGTAGGAGTCCGGGAGAAGGGCTTCACTTAATTCGAGCTCTCCCTCCCAAGATGAGATGATGACGGCCATCCGACACGCGCTGGCGCTCCTGCGAGGCCACTCCGGATCCGAGGCAGTCCATTTCGCTGATCCCCGCACGCGCCGCTCGATAAGCTGGTCCCGCGCTGGCGCTCCGCGCAGCTCCTTCACGCGCAGAAGCCTGCAGAAGCGCAAAAAAGGAGTGGATAAAGAGGGTTGGAGGTGTATCGTGGGACGGCGGTGCAGCGCAGAGGGATGGTGGGGGACAAAGGACGAACGCAGGTAAGAAATGTGATGGAATGAAGATATGTGGGACGGAATGTATGTATCGAGTCAAACGAAAGGAAAGCAAACGTACCATAATCGCCTCCCACCCGTCCTTCTCCCTGACCCGTCCTCCTCCTCCCACACCGCCCACCACCCATCGGCACGTTCATTTGAGGCGTGAGGCACGCGTCCTACAACCCTACAACCTCCTTAGATCCACCTTCACACGCGGAGCCGGGGACACCCACGTCCCGTTCGCAATCGCCTCCTCGACCACGCGGCGGTGGCGCCTTCTTAGCAGCACTGCAACAGCGAGCGCATGATGATCACATCACGGAAGAGACTGGAAGAGACGCCGAGCAGCAGGATCAAAGTCGCGAGCAAGGTGTAGACTGCGAGATGTTTGGCCACTTATCGACTAGCGGGGAAGAGTACGAAGGGACGCACGAGGGTAGTTATTCTCGTTGGGGTCGGGAGGGGTCCACCGGTAGGGAGCGCGGGCGGCGAGGCGACCGTGTCGGTGCACGTCAGCGAGAGGCTGAACGGCGGCGTCGAGCTCGTGGTGTTCGTGGACGGGGACGGGGTGACCGGGGTCGACGAGCGCGTGTGGAGGGGCTTGTGGACACGGTCGAGTCAGAACTTAGTAGTGGTCTCTAGGTAACAGAAGCCCTGCTTAGATATTGGATGGAGCTCGTCGGCAGCGGCGAGCTCATCGTTGTCGTCAACGTCGTCGAGGGCAACAAAAGATTATGCGATTTCCGCGAGCCGGCATCTGCCGACAGCCACCTCGGGATCCATCATCCGCCTCTGTGCTCTTAGCGAACTCGCTCCACTCGCGCACAGATATTCCGCATTTATTCGTCGCCGCCTTGGCTCACTCGGTCTCGCCTTGCCTCGATTCCCTTAGTCAAACTCCAACTCGATGATGCATCCCGGTCCTCGAAAACATCATAAGCTCGTTACTTCCAGACCCTCGAGCTGCAGACGCCCACTTTAGTCTCCATTCGACCCGTTCCGTCCACGCTGTGAGGCTATGCGCCGTGTGATGCCGACCCCCGCCGATCCCGCATTTACTGATGAGTTCAGAATAATTCTGTCGCCCCATAGGTAAGATTTTCTAGCACTCTATCTATATCACAGTTGAACAGAGGCTAACAATGGCAGCATGGTGTATGGTGCACGCGGGGGTGCCATAGGTGTTGTGGCTCAGGAATTTCTCTGAGGTCCTCGTTCGATTCGAGGTGCTCCTATATATTTGTGCCTTCCATTTTTGATTTCTTACCCCACCGACCTCAAAACAGGGTATTTGAAGCAGTATGGTGTCTTGCGCACGCGGGGTTCCTTTAGAGGGTATATGTCATTTGCCCATTATCTCCGAGGTCCTCGTTCGATTTGAGGTGCTGGGCTCGAGGATTTCCAACTCTTATTCCTGAACTCAGAAATTTTGCTAGCATCTCTAGGTCTCGCTGGTCATTCATTTTTATTTGTCAGCCCAGGGGTTCTCGTTCGAATCGAGGTACTGCTCTGCTTTGGGTCAACCAATCTTTTTTTCTTTGCTCGCCAAATTTCTAGCACCTCACCCACTCCAAAATAAGATACAGGAAGCAGTATGATGTAGTGTGCACATGGGGCTCTCTTCGCATGAGATAGTAGTACACCCTGAGGTCCTCGTTCGAATCGAGGTACTGCTCTGCTTTGGGTCGGCCGGTCGTTTTATTTCTTTGCACGAGTTATGTTAGCACGCCAAGCCCGAGGTCCTCCTTCAATCCGAGGTGTTACTCTGTGGTTGCGTTGAGTACATACATATTTGTATTTCTTTGCTCGCCAATTTTCGAGCACCTTACCCACTCCGAAAGAGATACAGGAAGCAGTATGGTGTAGCGTGCACACGGGGCTCTCTTAGGATGAGATAGTAGTACACCCGGAGGTCCTCGTTCGAATCGAGGTACTGCTCTTCCATCTCCACTTTGTTTCATTCGTCGTCTCACCAGATTCTGCTAACACTCAACCAAGTTCAAAACCGGGGAATGAATGCAGTATGGTGTATCTTGCACACGGAGCTCTCTTTGGAAAGGTCCGAGAAGAGTAACCCCCGAGGTCCTCGTTCGAGTCGAGGTAGTGCTCTGCTGGTTGGCTGATATCATTTTGACCAGGACCCAGCAATCTCGCTAGCACCCCACCATCCTCGAAACAGAGCAATTACAGTATTGTGCATTTTGCACACGGGATTGCCTTCAACTGGTACGAAATGATTATCTCTGAGGGCCTCGTTTGATTCGAGGTGTTGCTCTGGATCTATGTTCCGGTTATTTCTTTGCTCACCTCAGCAATTTTACTAGCACCCCAGTCACCTGGAAGGAGCGGGCGAAAAGCAGTATCCGTCTATTCCCAGCTCAGCAATTTCCTAGCACCCCACCAAGAGAAAGGAAAGCAGTATGGTGTATTGTGCACACGGGATTCTCATGTTGGCGTGGAGAATGAATTCACCCCGAGGACCTTGTTCGAATCGAGGTGCTGCTCTTCAATGTTTGTCGCGTATCTTCATTCCTTGGCTAAACAATTCTCTAGTACCCCATCGACCTCAAAACAGGGTAAAGAAAGCAGTATCGTGTATTGTGCACACTGGGTTTTTCGTACAATGGATGCACGCGATAATCACCCTGAGGGCCTCGTTTGGATTCGAAGTGCCGCTCTGTTGCCGGAGGAAGTTATTCTTCTCCTCTTGAGAATTGTCTAGGACACCAGCGGGGCTGAAACAGGATACTCCAAGCTGTAGGGTGTATCATTCACACATGGTTCCATGTTTCTCATTTGCCAGGACGAATTGATTCACCCTGTACAGATCTTCATTCCTAGGCCACCACTTTCGCTAGCACACCGCCAACCGCGAAAAAGCAGTATGGTGTATTGTCCGTATGGGATTCCTTTGGCTGTGACGAATCAACAAATTATCCTAAGGTTCCAAGGTGGTTTTTATTTCTGGGCCCACCAATCTTTCTAGCACTAAATCAAGGGGGAGAGAGTGTGGGTAAAGCAGTATGGCATATTGTGCATACAGGGTTCTCGTGCAGAATCTGTCAAAGATGAATTGATCCTGAGGTCCTCGTTCGAATCGAGGTGCTGCTCTGGAGGATCCTCTTATCCCTTGGCTCACCAATTTTATAGCACACCACCAGCCCAAAAACAGACAAATGAAAGGAGTATCGTGTATTGTGCACACGGGGTTCCATTAAACTATGTCCCAGTACATTTCCCCGAGGTCCTTGTTTGATTCGAGATGCTGCTCTTTGACACCATCCCACAAAATTTTGTCTCTCGGCTCACAGATTCTCCTAGCACTCCATCCCATCAGAAACAGAGGAAGGACAGCAGAATGGTGTACCGTGCACCCGGGGCTCTCTTCATTGGTTTTCAAGTAGTTTAACCTAAGGTTCTCGTTCGAATCACGGTGCTGCTCTTCTAGATCTGCGATTAGGTATCACTTTTTTCATTCCCCAACTCAGTAACATTGCCGCGGGGTTCTCTTTGTTCAAATGCAAAAATTAACCCTGAGTTCCACGTTCAGAATTGAGTCAAACATGATGTTCGACTCAATTCCGGTGCACACATGAAGCAGTAAGTGTGGTGTCTCCTGCACGCAGGGTTCTCATACAATGCGGAGAAGCAAGAACTAACCCACGCTCGAGTGCTGCCCAGTATACATACTTTCCTCAGGCTCCAGCTACGGTGCTCTGACTACGATTCAACTGATCACAACTAGCGAAGGTTGCCGAAGTGATCCGATCGCTGCCCACGTGCCAACACTCCCATGGTTGCCTTCAAGTTGGTTCAACTTTAGTTTATACGTGAACAGCTTGAATCTAATTCGCAGCTTCTCATACGGCTGCATAGTTCAATATGATGCTCATAAATTTTGATGGAATCTCACCCTGCACGTTAATAAGGCAAGCCCCACCACTCGAACACTAGCGCTGCATTTAAGACAAATCTAGCCGGGGGCCGCCAAGGTCTGTGGAGGTACACTAGGATACCCTGTGCCCAGGCTTATCGATCTAAACTGGGCGGGGTTAGCGAAGGTTTGTCGAGTGTATATTTTCCAACCTCGGCAGAGCCGTCGGAGGTCGCCTTCGGGCATCTCGGCCGAGGGAGGGCTGCCCAGCAACAAGGTCTGCCGAATTCAGCTGGCAGGGCTCGACAGAGCCAGAAAAAGGTCCAATCGGCGCACCCTCTACACAGGTGAGCGGAGGCTATCTAGACACACCTGCACTAACCTGGTTTGGGTTGGTCTTAAACGCAGTGCCTAAGGTTAAGTCTTCTAGCTAGCCCTCGCTGCAGGAGTACGCTCATCCGATGAGCAGTTTATCACTGCCACGTGTGACTTCCACAATGCAGTGCCGCAGTGCCGCCACCATTCAATTTTACACGCTATCGATCGCGGTCTTGTGCAATCAGATGGTCTTATGTAAGATTTCACTTTTCCGGTCTCATTTCTAGCTCAATGGCCTTGAGAAAAAGGTGCAGGCACCCAAGACGATGCAAATGCGCACTCCTCCTTTTATATTATTAATGGCCGAGTTTTGAGCTCTGTGAAAAATCAACAGTCGGATTTTGATGGCCCGCCAAATTCGGATGTAAAAGCTCTTGCATAAGCCCATCTCGCCTCGGGGACTTCCCCGCAACCTCAATTGCACTTCAAAAATTAAGGCACTTTGGATTACTCGTATTCACATGCTAGAAGTACTTCTCGCACAACCCGAAGCTCCATAGTTCAAAAATGAAGTCCATCAAAGTGTCATCAAAATTATGTTGCAGAGGACCGCGATGATCGATCGATAGTCAAATGATCCCGATCGATGATTTGGGGGACCACCTGTGGCGTTACTGGCGTAGCCCTCGGAGCTATAAAAGCGCCAAGCTTCCACGATTCACTCTCAGGCACTGACCTCGAACGAACACACAGCACTATCCTCGGCAGCTCATATATGCCTTATCCGGATTTCGTCAGCGCCACTTCCTCGCGGCCTAGGGATTCAGAGCCAATGGCCACTCGCCCCCTCACCCAGGCGCTGCTGGCTGCTCGGGCTGCTCGGGCTCAGCTTCCCGCTGTTGTCCCCGAGAATCGACCCCTGGCAAGCAGCTCAATTAGGGGAGGTGCACAGCGGGCCAACGGCTTGACTTTCCTCACGTCTGCCAAGTCGCAATCCACGCGCCCGGTCTCCCAGGCGCAGCAGGCTGCTCAAGCTGCTCGGGCTCACCTTCCCGTTCCCAAGACGCCACCCCCTTCCAGCAGTTCATATATGGGAGGTACACAACAGTTCAACAAATTACCTTTCCAGTCCACTGGCAAGGCAAAGGCCACTCGCCCCGTCTCCCAGGCGCAGCTGGCTGCCCGGTCTCAGGCTTCCACATCGAACTCTAAGCCCACAACACCATCTCCTCCAAAGCTGAAATCCACTCGCCCAATCTCGGCCCAGTGCGGTGGCCGCCGACCCCCTATTCCAACAACACCACACTCGCAAGGCAAAGACGACGACGAAAAAAACCCTCGTGAACTTCGAGTGATCAGATGGCAGGATCGTTGGACCCGGACTACAGCGAGGACGGAGGTTGAAGAGGATGAACTCAGAGGAGGAATCCGACGAGCAGGGGAGATTTAGATGCATCCCAACCTGTTATTCACTCTCGTCGTATCATCTATGCATGCATTCATTGAAGCACACAGAAACAAGTTCAAGCAGCGATACCCATCTCGACCAGACTGTTTAAATATACGTGCATGGAGAAGTCGTCAACCAGCTCAACCTACCTGTCCGTTTTGAAACTCCCAAAATATTTGCGAGCTGTCCAATCTGTTGCGCCCCATCACCTTGATTTAGCATACTTGAATCTATTGAAACCCTTTAAATGCTTGAGACCTAGCATATTTGCGCCACATAAAAGTCGATCTGATCCTGAGCTTTCAGTGTCGTCTTTATTTTGCTGTCAAAGTGAAAGTTGAGTCTACGCGGCCTTCCTTATGAACGAGAGAGTAGTTTGCGGCGCACGTAGACGCCCCCAACGGGACCTAGAGCTACGTAGCTGCACAGACCATGGGACGTAGATAACTAACTTTCCAGGCTTCTCTTAGCGTCTTAAAACTTGAGCGAAGTCGTGGACACTGCTGCACCCACCATCCGCGAGCCGCACACACGCAACAAGCGACGGACGCGCCGCCGTCTCCGAGTGTGCGGCATGCAGACCGCTGTGGCGCGCCATTCGGCCGGAAACACAGAGTATTTCTGGCGGTAAGGTTAGATTATACTCGACGCGAAGTAGCGGCGGGTACACCGAAATGTCCGCAAGATAACACGATCGTGCTGACAAATCGCCACGCATTTTGCTGACAAATCATCGTGGAAGTCCTGGATCGGGTCGCGCTGTATCGGCAAGAGAGACGTCGTCACGAAAACGTGCGGGTCCTCGACCCTCAAGCCCGTAGGTATCCAGCTCGAGGAAGCGTGCATGCGCTTACAGACCCGATCTCGCCGTGACATGGCGTCCGGAAACGGCGGAAAGATTTCTGGGTATTTATTATTCAATTGAACGTCAGCTTATGTAGGAATCCGCGGGAGAAGAGCATCACGTACTTCGACCCAAGATGATGACGGCCATCCGACACGCGCTGGCGCGCCGGCGAGGCCACTCCGAGGTCGGAGGCAGTCCATATTGCTGATCCCCGCACGCGCCGCCGCGCTGACGCTCCGCGCGCGGCTCCTCCACGCGCAGAAACGCGAGAACGGCCGCGTCGCTCGTACGCGGCCGTCAACGCGCTCGCGGATTCCGCCGTGAGCCGAATGTCTGCGGCGGGTTAGCGCAGCAGGACATGTACGAAAGAGAAAGAGAACCGCGTACCTCGAACAGGCTCTTCGACACGGTGGCGGGAGGTGTACGAATCGGAGAGCGGACTCCACCGACTCCAAGGCGGTGCGACCGACTCCAGTGCCACGAAGAGGCTATTGCTCGCGCTCGTCCCCGGACCCCACCTCGAGCTGCGGCAGCATCCGCCCACGTCGGGCGCTGCGGCGCTGGTGCTCCAGCCGCGTGAGGGGTGCACGCGGCGTCGGTGGCGGGGGAAGTGATAATTGAGAAGAGGAAGTAGGAGGCGGCATGGGCATAGCGATGAGCACCGCCACGCGCACGCGCGGCTGCTCCAGCTCTAGCTCCGGCTGCGCGTCCGCTGCTTTGCCATTTAGTGCGTTTGCGTTTGCGGGCGGGTGAGCTGGGGAGGGTGAGGACGCGGCGGAAGTGGAGGGAAGGCAGGCGGTGTAAGGAGGCGGGGCGTGCGAGGGTGAGGGCGGCGTGTACGACGCTGCGAAAGGCTGGGGAGGAGGCGTCAGTGAGGGAAACGCAAACGCAAACGCGGAGGGAGGAAGATGGGGAGGAGGACTGCGTGCGTGCGTATGCAGCGACGAGAATGCGGGAAGTGGCGATGCAGACGCGGAGAGGAAGGAAGTAGCGATGAAGATGTGGGGGTGTGGGAACGCAAGCACAGGGGACTGGGGCGACGCAGACGGTAGAGAACGGGGAGGGAGGGAAGCGGGGAGACTGCGAGGAAGGAGAGAGAACAGAAGGGTTGGATGAGCACGGGAGGGAATGGGACGCTGGGCGAAGGGGCGCCGAGGGGTTGATATGTATCGAGCGCAGATGCATGGAAAGTAAGGAAGCGCAACGTACCATGATCGCCTCCCACTCGTCCTTCTCCCCTTCCCCTCCCCCTCCGCGCACCGGCACATTCATTGGCGGCGCGAGGGACGCGTCCCACAGGCGCGGCTTCTTCCTTAGATCGACCTTCACACGCGGGGCCGGGGGCACCCACGTCCCGTTCGCGATCGCCTCCTCGGCCATCCGGCGGTGACGGCGTCGCAGCAGCAGCGAGCGCGCGACGATCGCGGAGGAAACGCCGAGCAGGAGGATGAGCGTTGCGAGGAATGTGTATACTGCGGGACGTTAGACTATTATCGACTAGCTGTGCAAGGGAGAGCAGGGACGCACGATAGAGCTGGGCAGAGGACTGCGGGCCGCTGTTCGCGTCGGGGGGGGGGGGCCGCCGGTGGGGAGCGCGGGCGGCGTGGGGTCGGGGACGGCACTAAATGTCTGGGAGACGCTGAACGGCGCGGACGAGCTCGTTGCGTTCGCGGACGGGGTCACCGACGCCGACGCCGTGGCCGAAGTCGACGAGCGCCGTGTAGAAGGGCTTGAGGACGCGGCAGACATGGTGGTAAGTCGAGCGAGTTAGAGTTATCCTTTAGTGGTCTTGATTTGGTCCGAGTCGTTATGTATAGCCAACAGAACTTAGAGAAGAGTGGCAACAAAAGAATTGTAAGCGGTGCATCATGCTCATGATTTCCGCAAGCCGACATCTGCCGACGGGATCGGCCTAGGCCTCAAGAGTCAACGAGAACTCGCTCCACTCCCCGCAGATATTTCTCATTTTTTTCGTCGCGGGCTTGTCTCACTCGGTCTGGGTCTCACACTTCTCCGAATCACTGCTCCAGCTCAGCCCAAGTTCTCCGATCCACCGAGGTCCTTCAAAAATTGTAAGCTGGGCTGACTCCCACTGGACTGCGGATTCAGACAGTCTCCATTCGACCCGTTCCGTCCACGTTCGTGCGAGCTGTGAGGCTATGCGCCGTCGTGTCGCCGCCGTGTGATGCCTACCCTCGCCCGCTGTCAGAGTGGCTTAAACCTCGCCGCCCGAGAAGGGATTTTCTTAGCACTCCACTTAGCACTAACTGTGAAAGAAGTTAAGAAAAGCGGCATGGTGTATGGTGCACACGGGATTCTCTTTCGGAAGGTCAACCCTAGTGATCCCGAGGTCCTCGTTTGATTCGAGGTGCTGCTCTGGGGCATTGTCGATAAATTTTATTCACTGACTCAATAATTTTGCAGGCACTAAAACAAGCGCTAAACAGAGGAAGGAAAGCAGTATGGTGTCACTGCGTTCAGCCCGGACCTAGACATCAATTGTCTGGCCGGACGGATGCGGCTAGACACGTGCCATCACGGGCTAGACACGCTGATGGGACGTGTCTAGCCCGTGATGGGACGTGTCTAGCCGCATCCGTCCGGCTAGACAATCGATGTCTAGGTCCGGGCTGAACGCAGTGTGTATTGTGCACACTGGGTTCTCTTGCTTCGGGGTTGCATAAGAATTGACCCTGAGGTCCTCGTTTGAATCGGGGTACTGCTCTCTGCGACGAGGCTCTCCTTTTTGAAATTTGTTATTCCCCAGTTCACCAGCTTTCTAACAGACCACCGAGTTCTAAACCGAGCAATGGAAGCAGTATAGTGTATTGCGCACATAGGGTTCTGTTACACCGCTCGCAATGGTTAGCCCCGAGGTCCTCGTTAGATCCGAGGTACTACTCTATTGAGGCTGCGTCCACTTTTATATTTATTCTCCAGCTCAGTAATTCTTTCTCACGAAACCAAGTGCAAAATAGGATAAGGGAAGCAGTACGGTATATCGTGGACACGGGGGTTCTCTTTGAACGAGGGAAAGCTCATCCCCGAGGTCCTCCGAGGTGCTGCTCTACTTGAGGTTTTTATTCCTCAGCTCAACAATTTTCTAACACTACACCAGGGGCAAAACGGAGAGATGAAAGCAGTATGGTGTATTGTGCACACGGGGCTCTCTTAATCGGGGGATTTCATACACCCCGAGGTCCTCATTCGAATCGAGGTGCTGCTCTTCGGCGCAAAGGCTTTCCTTTTATTCCCCAGTTTACCAGTTTTCTAGCACTCTACCAAACTCGAAACAGTGCAAGGAGAGCAGTATGATGTATTGTGCACCCTGGGTTCTCTTAGCTGGAATCGAGTCAGGGTTATCCCCGAGGTCCTTGTTCGAATCGAGGTGCTGCTGTGGGAGTGTTAGCTTTGCACATTTTTCTTTCTTTGCTTACACATTTTCTAGGACTAAACCGGGCTGGAAACGGAGTAAGGAAAGCAGTATGGTGTATTGTGCACACGGGGGTCTCTTAGCTTGACCAGGCATTTATCCCCGAGGTCCCCGTTCGAATTGTGGTGCTGCTCTAAGTCTGGAGCTACATCTTTTTCTTTCTTTTTCTTTGCAGCACTAAACACGAAACAGGGTAAGGAAAGCAGTATGGTGTATCGTGCACATGGGGTTCCCTTCGAGGGAGTCGATCCATAGTTATCCACGAGGACCTCGTTCGAATCGAGGTACTGCTCTTCTTGAGGCCGTCTACCTTTATATTTATTGTCCAGCTCAACAATTTTATAGCACGATGTCAAGTGTAAAATAGGATAAAGGAAGCACTACGGTGTCTCGTGCACACGGGGGTTCTATGAGCAGTTCTCACAGTGGTTAGCCCCGAGGTCCTCGTTCGATTCGAGGTGCTGCTCTGGTTTGATGTTCTCAAGATTTTTATTCCGTGGCTCACCAATTTTCCAGCACGAAACCAAGTGCGAAATAGGGTAAAGAAAGCAGTATGGTGTACTGTGCACACGGGTTCTCCTGAAAAATGCATGATAAGTTAATATCCCCGAGGTCCTCGTTCGATTCGAGGTGCTGCTCTTCAGCAACTCGGATTAGATCTTGTTATGTCGTTGCTCACGAGTTCTGTTAGCACACCAAGTCCAAAATAAGAAAAAGAAAGCAGTATGGCGCATTATACGCGGGGTTCCCTTCGTACCCCAAGTTGTAATTGGCCCGAGGTCCTCGTCCAATCCGAGGTGGTGCTGTAATTCGGGGATGTGTGATTTTGTTTCTTTTGCTCACCAATTTTCTAGCACTAAGCCAATCTCAAAACAAAGTAAAGCTAGCAGTATGGTTTCTCGTGCACGCGGTGTTCTTACCGGTCTTCGAAAATTAACACCGAGGTCCTCGTTTGATTCGAGGTACTGCTCTGTTACTGCATTGAGTATTTTTATTTCCTTTTTGCTAGCACCCCAACCACGTCCGCACAGGAGAGAGAAAGCAGTATGGTGTATCAAGCACACGGGTTCACTTTGACTGAGAGGAAGCTCAAGTTGTAATCGCCCCGAGCTCCTTGTTACTCACCAATCTTATAGCACTAAACCAAGTACGAAACAAGACAAGGGAAGCAGTATGGTGTATTCCGCACACGGGAGTCTCTTAGAGGCAGTTTCAACAAAGATTAACCCCGAGGTCCTCGTTCGAATCGAGGTGCTGCTCTTCCTCTGCTGTATCTTTTTATAATGAACTATCCAGGTCAGGACTTTCTAGCACCCCACCTACCTCTAAACAGGGCAAGCAACACCGTGTGCTGTATTGGCTTCCCTTTGCAGAGGATCAATTTTTTTTTTGGGAGGGCCCCGACGACGTGCTGCTCTAGTACCGCTGCCGGTGATTCTTTGAATTTGTGGACATTGTTACACCGACCATCTACAAGCCGCACACGCGCAACAAACGGCGAACGCGCCGCTGTCTCCGGGTGTGCGGCATGCGGGGTTAAAATGGCGCGCCATCTGTCGGCACTGGCTCCGGCGTCAGCTTACCCTTGAGGTCAAGTTGAAGGACCGCAACGCACGCCGGTGTACATATAGCAAGAGGTGGAGGCACCTTGCTGACAAACCACCCCAAGCCCGGAGAAAATGGACCGCCCCGTCCATGATGCCTGATGAAGCTTAGGCACCGCTCGTCGCTCGGGTCGCGCTCCGGCAAACGGGACGCCATCCTGAGGACGTGCGGGTCCTCGAGCCTGTACGCATCCAGCTCGAAGAAGAGCGCGCCGAGCTCGCAGATCACAGGTACATACAGAGGCGCAGTCGGAAGAAATGCCCCTGCCGATTATAGCGATCCCGCACGCGAGATCACCTAAGATGCTGCGAAGGGCTGTCGGGAGGAGAGTCAGCCAGTCAGATACGTAGGGTCAGGAGACGAAAGCGAGGCAGAAGAGTAAAGGAGAAGAGTAGGATAACGATAGGCCATACCATGGGAAAGGTAGGCTAGGCAGAGGGAATGACGGAATGACGGAAGCCGAGCGCGCGCGATCGCGATGGGATGAGAGAAATTCACGCCTGGCCGTCTCACACTCACGCAGAATGCATCCAAAAACTTCGATCCGGTCAAACTGCACCCAGCGCTGAACTCGACCGACCAGATGGTATTCAATTGGCATGAAGATGACGACCTCGGGGATCACAACACGGTGGACACTCAAATCTTCGAACTCACGGATGGAGGGAATGCGACTCTGTCTCTGACAACGTACGTGACAGTCCCTGGTTGCATAATTATCGGTCTGACCAGTGTCCGCTCAGTCGATGGGTCCTTATGTTATCGAAGCCATGGCCGTGCAGTTCAACAAGACGCACTTTGCGCAAAGCGCATCCTCTACGCCCTGGGTCGCCATCTTTCCTTATGAGCGGAATGACTCTGCTGGCAACACGTCGGATTTGATTAGCAACGCGCAAAAATTGGGTGCGCGTGCGATTCTGGTACGTGCCAATGCCTCAGGAATAAATCGTCGCTGGGAATTCATATGTTTCTCTTGGGCGTACGCCATAGGTTCCTCGACGCACTCGTTCTGTAATCTGACGGACAACAGGCCTCCGGTGCCGATCCCAATTTACGTGACGGAATACTGGAACAGCGGGTCCCTGATCTTCTCCGAACAACTGCCCAACCTCGTTGGGTGAGTCCTACCTAGTGCCTCGGAAAAAGGAGACTTCTCTGACAGGATATCCTCAGCCCGAGCAAATCAAGTTCTACAATGCCACTGCGATGACCAGCGTCGCGGCGAATATCACGAGTGATTTCAAGGCCCTGAGGGCCAGCTCGTCGAGTCTGGCGCAAACAGATGTTCTTCTGGTGCGGATTCCGGCCATTTCCACAAATATGCCAGTGGTCTCTGTGACTTCGACTTCGACTTCGACACCACAGCCAACAAAACGCCTTGGTCTGCCATCCGGGAGCATACACAGTTATCTACGGTTTTCCCCCTGCTGCTATCATTGTCCCTGTTGATTGGACAATGCCTGATGTCCAAGTCCCCTCCGTTGATGTATTTAATTTAATTTAACCAAGTTGAACTGGAATTTCGGAGTCGATAAGCGAAAATTATAATATCTATGGCTTCTAATTTAACTTTCCTGCTGCGTCGCAAACGGCCGGTGGGTATACCTGGTGGAAACATTTTGTCCCGGCAGATAAAAAGTGGAACGGTCGTATGGGTGCAGGGGAATATTCTTCTCTAAGCACAGCGGCAAGTCGGGCTAAAAGGGAGCGATCGGTTTTCCGTCGACCGGGAAGAAGAACTCATACATTGGCGATGAACGTCCGACCACACGCCACGAGCGCATTTTTGCGCTCAGCCAACTTGATGGCTTTCTCACGCGTGTATCCCCCTGCGCAGATGAGGGGGCGGTCACCCCAAATGTCGCGGATGAAGCCGTTCGATTACCGGGCGTTGTCCTCCGACGGGGCTGCGCTCTCGCTCCCGCTGATTCGGGACTCGATGAGATGGATGTAGGCGAGCTTGGGGTGGAGAAGCTTGATCTCAGAGACGATGTGGCTGAACGTTGGGATGGGGTTAGTCATGCTCATTCCTGGGGAAGACATTAGAAGGGTGGATGTATAACGTCGACCGAAACGATCTCACCACCGAGAGGACTCCAAGGGGAGAAACGGATGGCCGTCCTGTCTTCACCAACGACCTCGGCGACAGCCTTGATAACCTCGAGCGAAAAGCGAGCTCGCTTCGCTTCGCTGCCGTACGCGTCGGTGCGGTTGTTCGAAACATCTTGAATAAATTGGTCCAAGATGCAGCCGTTGGCGTCTGTGGGGGAAATAAGCGATGAAATATGAGGACGTCAAAATTTAGAGCGAACTGTGCATTTCAACGCTGTCAAAGCCAGCCTCCATGGTATTTTGGCAGCCTGCACGTACAAACCGACATATTCCTTAATCTCGGAAACGGTAAGTGAACGGGGTTTCTCATCGCCCTCCACGATTGGGATGTCCGAACCAGAGACAAACGGGAAGGTCGGATCTTCTGACTTCAGTGTTGCTGGGAAAGCCGAGCGTCCCAATGCCAGCAATTGCAGGAAGATAGAGGATCCTTTTGCATGGACGGCCTCGACAACCTGTACCCGAGAGTTACACTAAGTGGACAAAAAGAATGCTCGATGGTGTTTGGGCTCATTTCTAGGCCGAATCACTCCAAATAAAATGGTAGCATGAACAATCATCGATTTCATGACGATACACACTATTTTGCCCATACCATCCCTACGTACTTCTCTCGGAATAAAATATTTGGGTGTTTTCCGAGAAATTGAGTCTGTGGAATCACCGCGTACCCAAAAATGGTCCATATAGTCTGAAAGTACTCATAAAATGCACCTTATTCATGCTTTGGTCGATCTCAATTGAAGGTGTTTTGAGCTCATAATGCCTCATGGAAGTTACCCATTTTCGGCATTTTTAGTGTAAAATGGCCCAAAAATGCGAAAAATGGACAACTTGAACACCCGTTGTGAGCTCAAAAGCCAAAGGATAGGGGTCAACCAGGATACACCTGAGGTCCATTTTATGAGTACTTTCAGACTATATACACCATTTTTGCATACACCCTGTTTCCACCAACTCAATTTCTCAGAAAACACCCAAATAATTTGTTCTGACAGAAATATGTAGGAATGGTATGGGAGAAACAGTGCATATCATCATGAAATTGATGAGTGTCCATGCTAGCATTTTATTTGGAGTGATTTGGTCCAGAAATGAGCCCAAACCCCATCGAGCATTCTTTTTGTCCACTTAGTGTAAGTGAATTGTGCATTATGAGCAGCGGAAATCTCACCTCCTTCCACGCGTTAATGTGATCCCGGCTCCATATGCCAGGCATTTTGGGGAAGCCCCCGGCTTTGGCAGCGATGAGGGTGGACTCAGCGATGAGGAGGGTACCTGGCGTGCTTGCGCGCTGCGTGTAGTAGTCTTTTACCAAAGGGAGGAAAGGAACATGGTTCGCATCGGCTTTCAGTCGGGTGAGCGGGCAGAGAACAACTCGGTGGTTGAGGGAAAAAGGCCCAATATTAACGGATTGGAAGAGCTGAGGCGACATTGCGTTGGGTGTTTGTGCTGGACTGTCCGCCTACCCACCGGTTTTATATCTGTCGCCCATGCGATGATTCATGTCCGAGTCGCAGGAACTCCGAACTCTCCTATGCCACTGAGCAGGCTCGGAATGTCATGTTTGGCCGCTAAGCCCGCCGATTCTCGCTAGCTTTGAGTCATTTGTGGCTGCCAATCTACCGATTCGCGTTGCAATCAGCGGGGGTCGGGAGCTATTTGCTTGGTGATCCATCAGGTGGTCAGCGGGATTATCCGGTGCCATGCTGCCGAGAGCAAGCCGAAACACTGCCACTGATCGACAGCCTCCGGCCAGCCACCGACTTCTCTCATTTGCGCATTCTGAGCAGGTCAGACTCAGCCGAGTCTTGGTTCAACCAGCTCTCTGTTTCGTCGGCGATCCGGCTGCTATGGCCCATGATCCCATCCCACAAGAGCTCATCGATCTCATTGTCGATAATCTCCACGACGATATTCCC